GTCGTATGATGGCCAAAATAATAGAACCAAATCCTAAATTCCGTATCACCGCCGAACAAATTACGGAGGATCCTTGGTTCTCGTGTCTTGATATTTGCTATAAGCCATTATCAACAAATACTCATTTGCCTACAAATACGTGTGGTGTGAATGCTACGAACGGACAACCGACAAATATGAACAAATTAACTATCATAAACATGGTATAATCGACCAGTGATGTGCTATTTAGCGATAAAATGTTTCAACTATAGTTGTTCAACAATTCAACTGTTTCTAAAAACATAGATATCGTTAATATTGCTCTAATTTGTTAATATTTTCGATATTTTTACAATCCATTTTTTTTTCGCCTTTATGATCAGCCTTTTTAAAATGTTTTATCAGCCGGTGTAATTTGGTTTGAAATTATGCCAAATAGTTTGCTGTTCATGGAAGTGTTGGAAAAATTATTCTCGAAACCCTGTTTCGTCGTGATTTTGTATAATATTATATCGATATATAATTTTGACATGTAAATATGACTGCGTGATTGTGAGTGATTGATCGACATGAGAATTTTATTAGAATTCTATAGTGTTAACTTTCTCCAATTAGTGGAAAGAGTTGGATAAATAAGTTGAATTAAGGGCAAAAAAGCAATTTTATTATTCAATTTTGTATTTAAGTTAAATACTATACGTAGTATTATTTCTACGAGCCATTTATATGTATATAAATTTCTAATTTGTACGTACGTACGTATGTATAGATTTGTACATTTTGTACAAGGGATCCCCCGAAATTTGGGGTCGGGAGGCATCGGCATTTAGCGGGTCAGCACCTATTGCAATTATTAACTGGGGTATTTTTTACTTAATGAACAACTATATTTTATTACAAACCAGTACGTATCAAATATTGCAAACTTTAAATAAATTTTTCTAACAATATAATTCACAAAACTAAAAAAATAGCATTTAAGGAGAGTACATTTATTCACCGCACCCTATACATGGCGTAGAAAGTATTTTGGCATAATTTCTACCTCAATTCTGGCATGCGGCATTGCCTAAATCCAAAATTCATGCCGCAATTAATGTCCAATACCGCATGCCAAAATTAATGCCGTA